CGTCAAAATATCATTATCAATTCTTCGTTGTTCATTAAAAACGATAATCATCGTAAAATTTAAATCATTCATACAAGCTTCGTACTCTTTCATCAACTCGACAAACATCTTCTTTATGCTTGTAGCACGCAAAAATGTCTCAAATGCCCTTAACTGTGTCACTGTTTCTACAAATATTTTAATCTTACTCAAAGTAGATTGAAATTTTACAAATGATTCTTGATGTTGCAAGACTTGTAATTTTTCTCTATATTTGGCAGGTGATTTTAAAGATTTTATGATTGTTTCGACGGATGCAATGCGGCTAATTATAGATCGAGACATCTTCTTATTGAATTGTGCATTCTCGTGGATTGCAAATATATCATTTATTAAAGAGGTGACAATGCCGAGTATCGGAACAATAGATGATAATGCGTTATTAGCAACATTGACCGTCCCTTCTATGAACTCGCTTAATTCTGGTTTGGTGCTTGGTATAATTTCAGTGTCAATTTCTGCTTTCGTTGTCATGGTAAATGTAGTTAAAGAAACGTTTTTTTTTTCTTTTATTATTATATGCATTTTTTATACGATAATTGCATGAAAATTAAATTACGCAAAAGGAATTAATCTACTAATTATGCACAGACCTCTAAGAGGAAGTGGCCAATCAGAACCAACCAAAATAGGATCAGCTCGACATAGAATCCGAACACGTGAGGAAGAAGGATAAAGAAAAGAAAGCGAAAATACTCAAAAACTAGTGTTTAAATCGACCTTGGTGGACTAATAAAAAATAACGGGAATGAAATTTTACATATAAAAATCTCCAACTTATCACTTAAGCTCACAACCACTAAGGTCCTAATCCTAAAAGATAAAAGGTGGAATTCTACCGCCACAAAGAAATTTACAAAATTAGGTTTCCTTTTTTTGGATTGTACTACCCACGCGCAATTTTTGGCATTTAGGAAATCTGTGCCAGGTTATGCACGTTACCGATCGTCATGTAATAATTGACAAATAACTACCTATTTAAAATTATAGATTTTTTTATTTTATCGCTGTTTTCGAAATGGTTGAAAATGGCAAATAAATTTTTTTTGATATACCAGTATATTGCGTATACTCGTATGTCGGATTACCTTAGCACGTTGATTGAAGATCATAGGCAGAAGTTCGTCTGATTGGTTAATAAATTCGATTTAATTTTACATTATTTATACAGTTTAAAGTACTTTTTAGAAAAAATAAAACTACGAAGAATAAACAAAAAAGAA